TCATCACCTGATGTACAACGTTTCGACAAGGTTTTGTCATCATCACCTGATGTACAACGTTTCGACAAGGTTTTGTCATCATCACCTGATGATGACAAATCCTTGACGAAATGTTGCACACTTGCTGTTATGTTAAACTTATATTAAAGTTTTTCTTCATTACCCACTCAGGCCATCTCCAGCCATTATTGTTCATTGTGTTTGTTTGATTTATAGTAAAAAGTGGTGACTACTCAGTCAACAAAATTCAAACATTTTCCATATCTTAGTCTTCTATCTTTAGCAGAACATGTATTTAGACAGCAGTTCTTGCCTACTATTAACAGTACAAAATAAATAAAATGGATATTTTTACTTTCAAAAAGCCTTATTTCTGAGAAAAATGTATCTTTAAAATTAATAAACAGTATTTCAGTTGTAGCTGTAAATATAATGTTTATGTATAAAATAAAAAAGTTTTTCTGATTTAATATTTCTGAATTTTGATAGTTATATACAAAAACAAACCTATGTATACAACAATAATAATTAGCAATTTATTTAACTAATTAAGTTGTAATGAAAGAAACTTTATTGACCTGGCCATTTAGCTTTCTTTTTTTACTCTTCATTACAATGCATACTTTAAATTTTTATACTGAAAAATGTTTATTGCAGCACTTTCATATTTTAATATTTGTTCGTTAAGCAGATTTTAAATATGGCCTAAATAGCTGTTGGATAATAAATAAAGTAATCATGTAAACTTATATTAATGATAGGTTTATTTTCTAATACGCTGTTTAAATGTTAGAGAATGAATACTTTTGCAAAAAAACAGTATTAGCACAGGCTATTAACACATGTATTTCTGTTACAGCCTGGCTCCATGTTCTTTCATGACTAGCAACTAAATAAGCCCTAGTGAAATGTCCCACAAAGATGTGTAGTTTACACATCCACTAAATGCAGAACATGCATTAATTTTGATCAAAACAAACATGTAAAGTGTATGTTTGTGTGTAGTTCCCATATGTACTATACCAGTGTTGATGATTTTTTTTTATCTTCAAACAATTTAGAAGATTTGGCTTCATGTATTTTAAACCTTGAAAACAAAAAAATAAATAACTTGATCAAATTATTACACATAGGATGGCAAAGAACTGTGAATTTGTACATTACACTTTTTCATACATCTGTAGTAAGTTTTGAAGCCTTTGGTTTATCCCTTCCACTTTTTTTTGTACAAAATCTGAAACATGTTAAATCACCTAATTGTCTCCATAGAGTTCCTTGTTTACTTCCAGTACAGTTAAATTTTGCATGAAAGTGTACTTGCCATGTATATAAAGTTATAGCTTTTATTTGTTGAATATTTTCTAACTAGAATATCAAATAAATTTACTGTTAGATCCTCTAAGCTATCGAAATTTGCTTATATCTTCTGAATTGCTTTTTAATTCATCTTTTACATAGTGAACATTGGTAGCATGTTCTGAATTAATTGAAACTGAAGTTTCTAATTTGGCTGTGTTGAGTTATTAAAATAGTAAATGCAGGCTAGTTCAATACAGTAGGTGGTAAAATTAATATTATGATAAGCAGCTTTTTGAGAAACTTAACTCATGCTTTAAGTTACATTATAGTGAATTTTGTTATTAATTAAAAACATTTTACATTTCTCTAGGAATAATGTCAGAAGTAACTGTGAATTTCATTAAGCATCTTGTTGATTACATTGGTTCTTTGGTGGAAAAGTCTTATGGACCTTATGGACGATCATCTCTCTGTGTATCAGCTGTAGGTCAGATTGAAATCACTAGCAGTGGCATTTCCATCTTGGAGACAGCTAGGGTTAATCATCCAGTAGCAACAGTTATTACTCGTGCTGTTAAGAATCATCATGAACTTGTTGGTGATGGAACTAAAACTTTTATCTTACTGTTGAAGGCCATTTTTAATGAACTCTCAAAGTATATAACTGAAAGTAGCTACATCCCACAAAAGCAAGGAACAATGGAAATAAGAACGAAACTTAGACTGGAACTCAGTAACTTGTTGTATTTTATGTTACCGGAATACTTTGGGCAATTAAGGGCTAATAAAATGATACAAAACATTTTTTTCCATGAAAATAATTTACCTTTAGTTAAATCTTGTGTTCAGAATCTGCTGAAGACATTTTTGACAGGAAAGTTTGGACAGCTTGTTACCCATCAGCTGGTGGAGCTGTGCTATAACTTGATTTTTTTCAGTGTTTCTGATATAAGCAAGTTCAATGAAGTGGTCCAGTATTTGATTAAAAACTTTCACCTCCTGTGTTGTAGGATAAATGTCTTACCAATTCAACTTTCTAGGATTGTAGAAGGGTTTGTTCTGACTCGTGATTTTACTGTCCCGTGGAAAGACTACACAAGTAAGGAAGAAGAATTTAATTTCATTGTTATTCTGTCTTCTCAGGACAACCAGTCCATCTGTAATGGAGCTATTTTAAAAATAACACAGCCACAAGATATTGAAATGTTTCTGTTGTCATCATCTTCATTTTATAAATCGGCTATGAAAGCCATTCAGCAGCATCAAATTCAACTGATTTTATCTTGTAACAGTGTATCTGAAAGTTTCAAAACTTTATGTTATGAGGAGGGTATAGCTGTGATTGCAGGCATCCCACGGGAAGAGTTGTTACATCTAGTCTCTCTTTGTGGAATTCAGCCAATAATATGTCTGCAGGAAACCTTGAATGCATCAAAGATTGGAAAGGCACAATTTGCAAGACCCATAACACTAGAAGCTAAATGGTATATCCAGATAGGAATAAAATTGTCTAACTTGGATACGCTATTAGTTCCTCATTATCTGGTTTTGTGTGGTCCAACAGAAGGAATTTGTAAACAGTATTTTAGTGAAAGCTTTAATTCCCTTAAGGTAGTTGCTTCTTGGATAGACAGTAACTGTTACCATACTAGTCATGGGGTACAGCCATTTTCTTCAACATCTTTTTGTCAAAAAGATTCTTCAGGGATTAAAGTACCATCCAAGTCTATAGGTTCTTGTGATATTTCAACAGAAATAAATATGCCTAAAGAGAATTATAAAGTTAATCTACCTGTGTCAAATGTAAGACAGCAGAGCAAGCTAGGATGGTTTGAAGAAACTTGTATGAATGAAAACTGGAAAATTCATGTTATGTCTAGTTCTTATGGGCATTCTTTACACTCTACTTTAAGGAAATCTGTCACTGAAGATTATCCGATCAGTTCAAAAGAATGTGAATATAAATTAACAAAAATGGTTAAACCAGCTTTTTATTTGTGGAACTATGATCAAGGTGTATCTTGTCCAGGAAGTTCATTCTGGGAGTTGACACTCATTTCCTTACTTAGAAAATCCTACAACAGAGCTACAGGAAACAAGAATGCCATTGCTATGGAAATTCTTGCATCTTCTTTATTTTATATTCCAATTTTGTTACATAAAACTTCTCTTACAAATAAGCAGAATACTGTTCAAGTTTATCAGGAGTTGGAAGAGAGTTTGCAGAAAAGCTTGCAGGTGTGTATGGATGGAGTTTCTGGTTGTGTTATTTCAGTGGAAGAATGTACAACAAGAGAATCTGTGGCATCTAAAGAATTGCTGCTATGTAATGTGTTGAAATTGGTTATTCAGCTTCTAAAACTTGATGGTATTGTCAATATTCCAAAGTTACCAAAAGTACTAGGTGAGGATTAAATCTAGTATGCAACTCCCATTATAGAATTTTTGACTACATTTTACCTTTGAAAGTACCACTTAATTGCACTTTATGATGAATAATACGCACACACACAAATTTAGACAAACACCTGCACAAAAGCTCATGTGATACTCTAAAAATGGAATATACCTGGTTGCCTGATAATGTTAGATAGAGTTTGGATTTCATAAATATATTTGTTTACAGTTATCTATTTATTTGTCATTTCAGTAAAGGTGAAAGTTCTAAACTTGCTTCACATCCAAAATAGAATATTTTTTAACAATTGTAGATTATATCAGTAATTGAAGAAAACATTATCATTGTATCCTGTTTTAGAGATAGTTGGTGATTGACTTTTGTTACTGTTTTTAATGTTTGTGACTTTACAAGTATAAAGATATTTTTCTTTTGTTGCAAGTATAACACAAATTTGACCTTTACAATATGATATTGTGCTTGTATTGAAATAGTAATAAAAGGATTACATACTAATGTCTTGTAATTAAGACACACTAAATGTTTTAACCTTTAAATTAACTAACTTGTTTCAATACCATTCATCACCAGTGGGGTAAAGTGTTATTGCATCACAATAAGTATTAGATTGTCAAGAAATTAATGTCGCATTTTGAAAAACGTTCATTAACCCCCCCAAAAAAAATTGCATCACGTATAATTGTTAAACGAACTGCCTAAACGTCATGTTAGTGTAGCCTATATAATGTGTAAAGTTTAGTATACTCT